GGGAATTTATACATGACCACCGCCTGGAGGATTCATTTTCGGGGACCCTGGCAGGCGGCGGATGTGGACATGTGCGGGCCCCCGGGGGCCAAAACATGTCCACGTCCACCGCCCGCTGGGTCACCAGGACGTCGGATCCCCGCCTCGCAATCCGGGAGGCCCTTGCACCCCGGGAGTGGTCAAGAGCCCCAGGGGCCCCGCGTGGCGAGAGGTCGGAGGCTTGTGATGGGCCCGTTTTCCACAGCCACCACCACCATAAGCTGGATGGGGTGAAGGAGGAGGAGGAGGACGAGGAGGAGGACGACGACGAGGAGGAGGACTAGGAGGAGGAGGAGGAGGAGGAGGAGATTTGCGGGCCACGTATGAGTAAGGATGATTAGATGGATAACTAAGCGGACAGGGGGAAGGATGAGCAGACGAGGATGAGGAACGGAGGAGGAGGAGGAGGAGGAGGAGGAGGAGGAGGAGTTATGGTGGTGGAACGCAGGCCCGTCAGCCTGGGTAGGCGGCAGCCGGTGGCCCCTTGGCGGGCCCTTCGGTGGGCCCCGCGGCGTGGCCTCGGCGGCCCCTCGGCGGCCCCTCGCCGCCCACACCGCCGCCGCCGCCGTCGCCGTCGTCGTCGTCGTCGTCGTCGCCGTCGCCGTCGCCGTCGTCGTCGTCGCCGTCGTCGTCGTCGTCGTCGTCGTCTTCGTCGTCGTCGCCAGAGTCCAGAGGCCGGAGGAGGAGGAGAACGAGGAGGGAGGAGGAGGAAGGAGGAGGACGAGGAGGGAGGAGGAGGAGGAGACCTCCTTCTAATTTGTTCTGGGGTGGGCTCAACCTCCCTTGTCTGGATGGAATGGACCTGACATGGATTTTGACCTGGGTTTGCAATGTCCCGGGGATGTGATCTGGAGTTCAGAATGTTCCCCCCAGAACATTGTCTCCCCAGAACATTATATACCTGGGTTTATATTTTCCGGGAAGATTGACCCAGAACATAACAAATTTGGGTTTCTAATGTGTTGGGCCCCCAGGCTGAATGTGGGTTTACGATGTTGGAATGATATTGATGTGATTCCCCCCCAGCCTTCCCTCACCAGGGTGAGATTCATTATGTCAAGCAAGGGATACCGTAAGCTGGGGCTTAACTGTTCTTCCGGTATGATAATAATCGGGCGGGGGGGGGGTCGGTTTGGTTTACTTTTCAAACTCAAGCCCAGGCGCCTCCCAGGGAGAACATCAACCACGGCTTATTTTCTGACATGATGAACCTAGGGCTTCATTCTGAAATATAATGGAGCTTTACACTCGGGAGGGCAAGGGAGGGAGAACTTAACCAAAAGGCTACACTACAGAGCGTGTAAAGAGAGCGATGCAGCGCGGACTCAACTGTGAGCAAGCTCTGGACATGAGACCTGGACACTTTTTCCATCGCCACATCAAACCACGAGGTGCTTTTGCAGGCTTGTGCGATCAAACTGGATGCAAGCTGAATTGCAGGCGAGCTCAAGCCTGAGACTTTACACTCCATAATCCCGCAAGCAAGGGCAGCCACGACAGACAGAGCACACTGAGTGAAAAACACAGCGTAGCTAGAGGGCTGGCGCCACGAGACTAGCCAACAAAGTGCAGAAGTCATGTGGGTATGGCTGCGCTAAGGCCGTGCGCCAAACACCTTTGGCGTCTTTACCCTCGAGAATAGTGTGAGCCTTTCCAGAGCGCGAGCAGACACTGCGCGAGGGACGACACCGCGGCAACACAAGCGGTGGCTAATTTACAAACAGGATCTTAGTGGCCTTTTTCCAAGGCGTTCCGAATTGGCAAAAGTCTGTAACCTGCATGTTAGCGTTTTTCAGGCGCTCCAGCTCCTGAATCTCATTGGTGAGCCAGACACGACTAGTGGCGGGATTCTCAAGAGCACACAAACAGCCACAGGCAGCGGCCAGCTTAAAAAATCCGAGCAGACTGGCTAAGAAGCAAATTGTGATAAAGCACCTTCTCATTATCCTTGGGCGAGGGATCAGGGCGGCCATACAAATGCAGCTCATCATTCCTCAGTGGGCCAGGCCCCCTCCCGTCCCAGCGCCTGGCTCTCGACCATGTCTGGCAGGGCAATCCAAACCAAAGGCAGACCACCTCCCGATCCAGTATGGCCTTCTCCAGCCTCTGCAGCGACTCCGCCCTCAGGAAGTCAGCCGCCTCGCCTTGCTCGACGTCCCAGGCCTCGGCTGGGATGCCCGCGCAGGCGAGCGCCTCCGAGAGCCGCCCACTGCCAGAGAAGACCTCGACGGCACGACACCCCTGGACGCGGCGGCGGCCCTCGGGAACAAAGAGGTGTGGAACGCGGTCTGCAACTTGTCTAAAGCCACGGCGCCCTTCTGGTTCGTCTCGTCGGAGACCTTGGCCTGCTGCTGTAGCAGGCGTCCGTGCGCCTCGTGCCTCCTCACCGTGCGATCTGACTGCCATCTGCCTCGGGCCTTCACGACTGGCAACGACCTTCGCTTGAGCAGGATGTCGTGACTGGGCGTGATCTGAGCTTTTCGAGACCGACACTCTTGGCAGCCGACGTCATGGCGGGGCCGAGATGGGAGTACTTGAAGTCGAAGAAGAGCTTGTCTGGCTGGCCTCGGCGGAGGCCCGCGAGCATGTCGCCCAACCAGGGCAGGTCTTCGGAGTCCAGCACCAGGCTCTCCTCGAACAGGTTGACCTTCGAGGGGTGCTGATCCATCTCCTCGTGCATGTACAGACTCCACAGGATTGCTGACGAGTGTTCGCCCTGCGTCTTCTCGGCGACGGTCGGGTGAACACCCTCTGGGCGCAGGTGGTTCCTTGTACCGCTTGAGATAAAAGTGCGTGGAGGAGAGACGAGCGACTTCTCCTTGAGCCTCATCGCCTCCCCCGGCCGCAGGTAGGCGACCCACATCGTCACCAGCGCGAGCGCCATCAGCGGGTTCCCCATGTTGACCATCTCGAGCCACAGGAGTGCCAAGAGGTGCAGCGGGACAGGAGGCCTGGTTCTGCCTGGCTCCAAACGTCCCCAGCCCTTCAGCGCCTTGCGCGCCCTCGGGAGCATGCACGTCCCAGCCCGCGAGTAGTCCCGGTGGAAATACATGAAGGCCGCCAGCGTCCTCGCGCCCTCCGAGACGTCCCGACCTGACGTCCACAGGTGGTTGATGAAGTCCGTGAGAACGAGGTCGGGCTCCCTCTCCAACTTTACTGTCAACTGGTTCGCCGTCGCCCACTCCTGGAAGCTGGCGTTGCGCTGCTCGTAGTCCTTGTGGGTCCTCGCGCTCACCGAGCTGGACTCCGGGAAAGTGCCCTGTCCCCCGGCGGCCCTGGCCCTGGCGCTGCCCGCCAGCGAAGCGCGGGAGGCTGCCCGGGCCTGCCTCGTGGCGTCCCCGGAGGCGAGCGTCGTCCTCCTCGTCCGGCTCCAGCCGCTCTGCGAGCGAGATGGCGGCTCCACCGCCGGGCGGAGCGTCCGCTGCAGAGGTGGGGCGCCGACGCGGCTCCCAGAAGCGCGAGCCCTCGTCGGCGCGGTTGCTCTCAGACGGGATCCAGCGATAAACGTAGCGTGATCCTGAGGCAGCCGAAAAGGCTGCGGTCTTACGACACGACTTGTTCAGGGCGAGCGACGACGAGCGGCCCTTCTCCATGGCCAAGACAGTGCCCAGGTTGTCCCCCAAGATGAGGTGGCGTCTCCGAGACCCATAGAGGCCCCTTGAGGTGTGTCGAACTCCAGAGGCCATGCCGATACCCTCCAAGACAGATATAGCCCCATCCCGATTCAGAAACCTCGAAGCATACTGCAACTTCCAATCGGGCTTCTGGAGATGAATCGGGTTGATCTCGACGAAATCGGGATTCGGCTCGTACGGCGAGATAGCTTTCGGCTCGACAATGGTCTTAACGGTGTTTATGTCAGTGAACGGGTCGGAGAAAGCAGGCAGAGCAGCATGACGAGGAGCAGTAGCAGACGGCAGCTTACTTCGGTATCTCCACTTCTCTCTCACCTTCCCATAGTCCTTCACTACCTCCTGAGACCAACGCGTAGAGGCAACGGCATACCCAGAGAGACACGCATCGGTGGCAAGGACCCTCTCCGACCACTCCAGGCGCAGATCCGACATGGTGACCTGGATGAGGTACGAGACCAGACGCGCCTCCTGAGCCGCCTCTGACCACAGACGCCCCGGAGTAGCCCCCATCTTGGCCGCGAAATCGTACAGCTGTCTGAAAACCGAGAGACCAGGACGGAAGATGAGGAAGGCGGCGATGCAATGACCAATGAAACGACTTAAGGCGAGTCCCGTGATCCGCGGCCTCCTCGACAAGGCCCGAGCAGCTGCTGCTATTCTCTCCCTCCTCATCGGATCAACCCAAACTTTCATAGCCTCACCGTCAATGTAATACCCTAGAGCCGTAAACTGTCGCACAGGACCGAACACCTCATGAACAATGAAGCCTGACTTGACAAGCTGGGCAATCACGGCATCACGAGCTGAGACAACACACTCAGGAGTAGAAGCAAGGACAACCAAATTATCGCAATAGACATTGAGGACTGGGAGATCAGAACGCCACTCGGGAACTGGGGCACCCTCCTCCATGAGTCTCGAAGGGGCCCATGGCAGAGCAAGACAGATCTGATGGGTATGCACGCGCTGAGCAAGCCACATCGCCCAAGTCCATCCCATCGGAACTGAGCGAAGTCGCGGCCTCACCTGCATCATGCCGTGCAGAGCGCCGCCAAGGTGAGCAGGAACACCCCACTCCAGAAGCAGCGGCCCCGGCACGGGCGGCAGGGCGAAGTACGGCCGCATCTCGGCAGGCATGGCGAGCCAGAAGAAGTAGTCTGCGATGTCGGAGCCTGCACCCCACATGCCCTGCTCCTGCATCTCTGGTGGGATCTCCAGGCCAGCGAAAGCGGAACCGCTAGCCATACGGACTTTGGGCGGGCCCCTCCAGCGGATGTTGGCAACCCGACAATCCCACACCAGTCTCTGCTTTCCTGACTTCTTGCGCACGAAAAACGGGTAGACGGTCTCGACAGCCTCCGTGCCGAAATCCACAAGATTAGATTCAAACAGGTCCTTCACGAACTGGTTGTAGAGAAACCTGTCACTCTTGAGCCTCATGTCCATGTAGGGCTGAATGGATGCCTGCTGGTCCATGATGGCCCACATCTCGACGGGCGAGCGGAGCATCTCGGTGGTGAAGCCGTTGATTACGTCTCTGCCAGACTGGTCGATGACGTCCAAGAGCATCGGAGGAGAGGCCCCCGCTGCAGGCATCGACACCCGGCCTCGGTCATACGGCTCCACGCTGCAACTGGAGTCCGCCCCGGCGTAGGAGAACTCCGATCCGCAAAGCGCCTTCAGGGCTTCGCGGTCTTTGTACAATGATGTGCATGAGGGCCTCGCCGTCGGAGCAGACAAGACTTGGCCGTGGGCAGCTCGGTGAGCGGCAGTGGGCCGATGCGAAGCGATGGCGGCTGGGGAGGCTAAAACGTTGAGGGCATCGATGGCCCCATTCGCGAGCAGCTGCCTCCCACGCCTCCTCGACATACGCTTGAAGACTGTAGCAGACAACCCAGGATCAGGACGCTCATCCACTTCAACAGATGGCAGTGGGAAGAGGTCGCGCTGGCGACTGGCGTCCACATACCTCTCAAAACCTGCTGAAGCGGGGTCCGCTGACTTTGGCACGGCTCTGCGAGTGGACCAAGCTCGCGAGCCAGGAGGCATGGGCATCATGACTCCCCCTCCCCGTCGGCCGGGGCGAGCCCTTTGCCTCCTCTGCCTCGGCCTCCTCGACATCCACGACCAGTGGGCTGCCTGGTCCGCCTCTCCTCGGCAGCCTTGCGGGACTCCTTTAGGATGGCGGCCTCATCCCTGAACTTGGTGGCGACATGGGCAGCCAGCTCGGGGGCCACTGATGCCGAAGCTGTAGCAGGACCCCATCCCATGAAGTGATCTGCTCCTGAGAAGTCTGGAGCAGAGGCTGACTGCGCGTAGGCGGACTCGATGAGTTGAAGCCGTCGCACCACCAACTCCATTGACTTGAGAGCTGGAATGTTCAGCCGATCGTGGCAAACTGCCGCAGCGAGCACCTGGGGCAGAACGAAGTGCTCGTGGATGGCCCTGTCCCCCTCGTGCAGCTTGGCCTTGCGCAGCCACGGCTCGTGTGCTGCCTGAGGGGTGGGGCCGTTCTCGGCGACGTGCCGACGGAACCAGGCTGCCGTCCTCGGGCCCTGCAGGTCGATCCCACCAGCTGGCAGGGTGCCATCCTGCCTCTGCGCGCCCTCGCCGAGTGTCACTCGGCGGGCTCCGCTGGCGTCAAACGCCACTGGCTGAACTCGTAGATCAATCATAGGTGAAGCGGTGGACCTCGGGACGCGTGAGCTGTCGTACGAACACGTAGCCGCCCTTCCGCGGCATGACGGCACGATCACCTGCCGAGGTGGTGTCCACCGTGATCTCGACCTCCGTGCCTTTGGGCAGCTCCTCGGCGTCCTCAGCAGCAACCCACACCAGGTCAGCCCGCAGCGGCGGCGCGGCGGCTCCCGCCGCCCTCACTCCCTGGCCAGGCGGCCTGGGGTCGACAGGACCCTGAGGGGGAGGAGGGCCAGCGCGCGGGACGATGTCGTCGCCTCCCACGCGCCGCACCCGCAGGCCATCAGCAGGCGCCGGCAGCCCCAGCGCGAGCGCCGCATCGATGAAGTGCTGCCGCAGCTCCTCCGCGGCGGGGGGCCCTCGAAAACGATAGATGCGCGCACCCTGCAGCCCATGGGGAGTATCCCCGAGACCTCCAGAACCCCGAAGCCGTTCGACATCGGCCGAGGCGGGCGAGCAGTCCTCTATGTACGTGTCGCCGTCAGGCGTGAGCATGAAGTAGTTCCCAGCATCCGTAGGGTGGACCGCCAGCACGATCCTCTCGTGCCAGAGGTCAGGCGACGATCGCGGATCAATGCAAGCTGATGCTGGGCGAGATCTTGTAGATCAACTGTCGGCACTGCCTCCTGAGGGGAGGCTCCCGTAGGCGCGGTACTACGCCTCGCACACCACCAGGTTGGCACCGTCAAGAGCGCCCCGCACACCCAGCCCGACACGAAGAGGACCAGGCCCAAGAATACGTAGACCACCTGCGGGAAGAAGCCAGAGCCCGCCGCCCCGGCGCCGACACACTCCACGTGTATCGGCGGGATATGCAGATCTGGACAGCGCAGCTCCACCTGCGCAGGCGGCGGCGCCGGGCAAGAGAGGTTGACCACAGTATCAGACCGCGAGCACACTGCCGCGGATACAGCTGACTGGATCGAGAGATCGATGAGCCTCGGAAGCCAGCCTGAAATATGCTCCCACATGCAGGGAGAAAAGAACTGAACCAAAAGGCTACACTACAGAGCGTGTAAAGAGAGCGATGCAGCGCGGACTCAACTGTGAGCAAGCTCTGGACAGGAGCTATGGGGGGGACCGACGCCTCCGCGACAATATAAAGAATTGGGGTTCATCATTCCAGAATGGTAATGATCCAGCTGGAGGGGGGGGGGAAACGATCCATCCACAGGACAATTATCCAATGGGGGCATCACCTACAGGTACACGCCGGTCGTTGAAAGTAAGTATTTTTGGATCCCCAGATCCCAATCTACTTCAAGCGCCTTCCTGCTTCAAGAATCGACACGCTTTTGCTGTGTTCTGTTGTTCTCTGTGGGGGCCTGGACCCAATCAACTTAATCCGCCTTGCCACTTCATGTTTTTACCTACTTTTTCCCTGGGACCGGTTTTTCATCCCGAGTCGTTTTTTGACGGTCCCGAGGCCCAGCGAGGGCCCCGAAAGGCCAAAAACTATGAAATATCTCTGTCTCGACTTTTTCGAGACGCCCGATGTCTGGGGTTATCCAAAGGGGGTATCACCTACAGATAATGACCCTAGGTTAATCACTCCCAGATAATAAACCACGCTCGACGAGGATTTCACGGGTGTCTTCGCCACTGTGGAGCGTGCCGCCCGGCGGCCATGTGGCTCGCCGTGTCAGGCTTTTCTTCGGTGGAAGCTCAGAAGGAGAAAAACCACACAGACACAATGAATCGTCGATTCCCCAGAAAATATGGGAAAATATGGGCAGTGGGGGGGAAGACAGAAACGTAGAAAATATGGGGAATCCTGTTATTTGTGTGTATTTATTTGTGCGTCCCAGGGCCCCTTCAGTTTTGAAGCGCAGCATTCTCTCAAGCAGTGGCGAAGCGTCCTGGCTGGCCTTGAGGCCTGCCGCAGACAGTTCTAAGAACCCTCTGTGGTCTGGACGAAATGCTCTTGGAACATTTCTGGCTGAGGCTGTCTTGTTTTTTTTCGCATCGGGCATATGTTCTAAGAACACTGTTTTTATTCGTAGAACATTTTTGGGTTCTAAGAGAATTCCGTTACCTTTGTAGACATGCCGAGACGGTCGGTCCCTGCTCAATTCTCAGTGGTGTCAAGATTTGTCTTCCAGGGACCAGTATCCTTGCGATTGGCTTCCTGGTGCACCTTGCCCGAGGCATGCTTCTGGTTATGTGTGTCGTCGCCACCACTGGTCGCAGCAGCAGCAGTCGTGACGATCACAGGTTTGTTTTTCTAGGCCTCCCAGATGGGGTCGGAGTAGATGGGGTCGGAGGATCGCGCCGCATCGCCGATGCATCGGCGATGCGGCTCGATGCGGAGCCCGATTTCCTCCACGCCGACGTCGCCGATGCATCGCCGGCGTCGCTGGTGCATCGCCAGTGCATCGCCGATGCATCGCCGATGCATCGGTGATGCATTGGCGATACGGCGCGATCCTTCGACCCCATCTACTCGGACCCCATCTGGGAGGCCTCTAGTTTTGAAACTAGGAGTGCTGAGTACGACGGAGGCCGAACGTACCATAGACCCTTCCCCCTATAGGGCCCCAGGCCTGGAGACCCGGCTGGCCGCGGTATAGAAATCGAACGTCGCCATCGTCGCTTTAGCCACCTCGTAAAAGGGGAGGGTATGTTGAGGAGGGGGGGAAGAGGAGGAGGAGGAGGAGGAGGAGGAGGAGGAGGAGGAGGAGGTTATCCTCCTATCCATCCCCCTCCTCACTTCTCATCCAACCTTGCTCAGAACCTCCGAGTTGCGGATTTTCCCGCTGCAGACGGCCCCGTGCAGCGCCTCCAGGATGGCCAAGTTTTTGTTCAAAACGGCTAAGATGGACAACTCGGCGCCTCCAAGACGGCCAAAATGAAACCAAGACGGCCCAAGGTGGCCCAAAGATCGCTCCGAATGGATTCTAGGCGGCCCAGGAAGCCTCCAAGAGGACCCCCGGGAGAGCCCGAAGAAGCCTAAATCATGTTGGGTGGTCGCTTCTTTTCGCGTTTCCGACGGCCCAAGACGGCCCAAGACGCTCCCGAAATTGCCCGAAGACGGCCCAAGAGACCCCCAAGAAGTTACCACGACGGCCCAGAAAATCCCCCAGGGCGGCCTCCGAAGGCGAAAGCGAGCCAAGATCGCCTCAAGACCGCCTGAGGGGATCCAGGAAGCCCCGAGACGTCCTCGCGAGGCCCCTGGTCGGCGCAGGTCAGCGCGGGTCCGAGCGGGTTCGGACCCTCGCGGCAACCCGCGCGCCGACCCGCGCCGACCTGCGCTGACCTTCGCCGACTTGCGCCGACCCGCGCTGACCCGCGCTGACCCGCGCTGACCCGCGCTGACCCGCGCTGACCCGCGCTGACCTGCGCCGACCTGCGCATCCGAGGGAGCGCGTGAGCCGCGCGGACCCGCGCGGACCCGCGCGGACCCGCGCTGCCCTGCGGTGGCCTGCGGTGACCTGCCCCACCTCTTCCCCTGCCTCTCCTCGCCGGACTCGGAGTCGAGCTGGGTAGGTTGAGCTGGCTTGACTTCTCAGTTGATTTCGGGGCATCCCTTGGTTCAATCACTTGTTTCTGGGGCTTCCCATGTTTCTTGACTCCGGCCAGGCTTCCCCGAAGGTGAGGCGTGGTCGGGCTCATCTACACCTTCGACTACTTTCTCGGCCTCCGGCCGAGGGCGTCCACTGGGTGTCGCCATCATCAACAACGACCTGCGCAGGTGACCTCCTCTGATTGCTCCTTCTCCCTTCAGTGCTTGGTGTGCTAGAATGTGTGCGTGTGTGTGCTCGTGCCCTGACCTGTGAGAGTGGCCAGCGCGCCGCTCGTCACAGCGTGTGAGCGCAGAGCAGCTTAGCGTGCAAGTTCTCTGGGCTGGTACCGCCCCAACTCAACTGAACTGAACTGAACTGAACTGCGCAGGTGACATCTTCGGGTTGCATGCGGACGCCCTGCAATTCCTCGAGCAGCGGCGCGCGCGCCTCCAGCAGCTGCCGTCCCTGGGCGGGCCTGCCTGCCGAGCTGGCTTCTGAGCAGCACGCGGGGGCTGCTCGCTGCCGAGCGGCGTGCGCCAGCATGGCAACGGATCCTCCGCCTCCTCGGCGTAGCGTCGATTCGCAGCGCTGAGGTCCCCAGAGTGGTGTGCTGGCACGGTTCGGGATTTTTCAGGCGGTTGTCTTGCAACGGGGCTCTTCCTTCGGGGAGAATGCATCCTAGTAGGCACCTGCGGAGAGGGAGCGAACCTGGAGGGAGGGTTTATGGCAACATCGTGTGTGAGTCTTGGCTTTGCACTGGTCCTCCTCCTCTTCCTCCTCCTCCTCCTGTCCTCCTCTTCCTCCTCCTCCTGCTCCTCCCCCTCCTCCTCCTCCTCCTCCTCCTCCTCCTCCTCCTCCTCCTCCTCCTCCTCCTCCTCCTCCTCCTCCTCCTATTACTACTACTACTACTACTACTACTACTACTACTACTACTACTACTACTACTACTACTACTACTACTACTACTACTACTACTACTACTACTAATACACTACTACTACTACTACTACTACTACTACTACTACTACTACTACTACTACTACTACTATTTTTTACTACTAGTTCTACTACTACTGCTGCTACTACTACTACTACTACTACTACTAGTTCTACTACTACTACTACTACTACTACTACTACTACTACTACTACTACTACTACTACCACTATCAGTACGACTACTACTACCTACTACTACTGCCTACTACTACTACCTACTACTACTGCCTACTACTACCTACTACTACTGCCTACTACCACTACTACCTACTACTACTACTACTACTACTACTACTACTACGACTACTACTACTACTACTATTACTACTGCTACTATTAGCACTACTACTACCTACTACTACTACTACTACT